CAGACTCCGAAAAAGCAACGCCCTCCAGACTTACATGAGGTAGACAACGAGGATGAGGACAAAAGAGCGGGGGGGTCCACCGGCTTGCTTCTCCACGCTGGCCCGTTCTTCCACAGGAGGGCTGCTGCGTGGCCTCCTCCTCGCCAATCGGGCGCAAGCACGGCTGCAGGCCAGGCCCTCCGCCTCGCCACTCCCTCCGCGACGGGAGTGTCACGGCAGCGTGCAAACACACACAGGCTGGCCGGCCCGGCGAGGCGCTCGCGGACGCGGACGCGGCGCTGTGCGTGGAGCCCGACTCGATCAAGCTACATTTGCGGCGGGCAGCGTGCGCCCTCGCGCTCAGCCGGCCCGAGCTCGCCCGCGCCTGCTTTGAGAGAGCACTGGCATCCCGCGCCTGCTCGCCGCGGGAAGGCGCCCCAATCAGCTTCTCATCCCCCGCCTGGTCCCCACCAGGAGCTCGAGCCGGATTGCGCCGCCGCCGCCGCGGGCCTCGAGCAGTGCGCGCGAGAGCCAGCTGGTCGCGCGCGTCGCGCCGAGGGGCAGGCGGCGGCGGCGGCGGCGGAAGAAGAAGAAACCATGGACCCTTATGCCGTGCTCGAGCTGGAGCGTGGCGCAAACGCTGCTCAGATCCGGCAGGCCTTCCGCAAGGCGGCCCTCCGCTGGCACCCGGACAAGTTCGCCGCCCGGCACGGCGTCGGCGATGCGCAGCGCGAGGAGGCAGAGCGCCGCTTCCGGGAGCTTAATGCTGCTCACGGCGTGCTGACCGACCCGGTGAAGAAGAGGCATTACGACTTGGGCGGGGGCATGCGTCGTGATTAAAAATGGCCGTGCCCAGTCATACATGGAAATCTCTGCGCAACATCAGAAGATCCTTGGACTGTAGATCGTAGCCTTTTAGAGATCTCTTAAGTGGCAAATCTCCTGCCAAGAGCAGCAGTAGATTGAAGAACTGGTGGAGGCAAATCTTCTCCGGTGTAGATGCTTCCACGAGAGGAGTCTGAGATCTCGCGTGTGGAGGGCTAGATGCGATTTCTATTAAGAGTTTGACTCACACGCAGGAACCACTCGGCTCACCCACAGGCCCAATCTCGAGTGGCGGCGCTCCGCGCCTACCCAGCGGCGCGCTCCGCGCGTGCTTTCCAGCGGCGCGCTCCGCGCGGGCTTTCCAGCGGCGCGCTCCGCGCGTGCTCTGCGGCAGTGCTACTGCATCTTCCGCAGCTCCAGCAGGTATCAGCAGTGAGTTCACCGCCAGTCATCTGCGCCTCCGTTCGTTGCTCTCGTGCTTGATCGTCAGGCCGTGCTCTCACGTCCGCCGGAGCTACTGCCTCGGCTATCGGCACCATTTTACAAGTTTGACCGCCGACAGGCTGTCGGCGGTCCACGTGGGTCCGGCTCAGTCAAGGCAATGTCGCTCGGCGCTCGCTGGCTCCGTGGATGCTTGTGCTGCTGAGCAATCCAGGCGCACTTTGGCAGCCGGCGGCAGCGACTTGCGGCGTCAGCATTCGAACGGTTGTGTTGATTTGCTCTTGCTCCGCGGTATCTAGCCGGCGCGCTCCGCGCGGGTGTCCAGCTAGCGCGCTCCGCGCGTATGTCCAGGTAGCACCAGCGCGCTCCGCGCGCACCATATATCAGTCATAGGCACTAAAACGACTCCTAAAAGCTCGTTTCTGCAGCTTGGTCCGAGCCTGGCTGTTCTTCACTACTACTGGCTGGTAAGGACCGAAGGACACGTCACGTCCGCACTTGGAGCACTTGCCGCTGTGCGTTTTACTTTTGGCCCAGGCGTCTTCTTCGCTGTTTATTCACAGCACGCCCAGGTTCCCTGGGGTCGCCTCGTGAATAAACGAGTATAAAGAGCGGTGCTTTTGGCCACTCGAGGCCGCCGTGTCCGTCGCCTCTCGTCTCTGTCGCCGCCTGGACGGCGGCGCGAGGCAGCTATGCGCTGGACGGCGGCGCGGCGAGGCAGCCGTCCGCTTGCGCCGCCTCTCGTCTCGAGGCGCCCGTCCGTCGCCTCTCGTCTCCGTCGCCGTCTGGGCAGCGGCGCGGCGAACAGCTGTGCGCTGGACAGCGGCGCGGCGAGGCGGCTGTCCGTCCGTCGCCTCTCGTCTCTGTCGCCGCCTGGACAGCGGCACGGTGAGCGGCTGTGCGTTGGCCCCGCTTTCGACTCGAGGCGTTCGCCTGTCGCCTCTCATCTCATCGCCGTCTGGACAGCGGCGCGGCGAGGCAATTGTGCGCTGGACGGCAGCGCGGCTTGCCGGCTGTGCGCTGCGGCGCGGCGAGCAGCTGTGCGCTGGACGGCGGCGCGGCTAGGCAGCTTTGCGATGGCGCCGCCTTCGACTCGAGGCTGACACAGTCGAGGGTCTGTTATGTGGAAAGAAGGAAAGCAAAAAAGAATATTCAGCCTTCGGTTCTTGCCGTCGTGCCTCGCCTTCCCTGCCGCTCTCCTGGCTCAGTCCTATCAGTAGCAAGTCTGAGCCGCCCCGAACCGCACTTATCTCGGGTCTGCAAGCTCACACCGGCTCGTGATGCCACGGAGAGGGCTCGAGATTGTGCCCGGTGGACCCCATCCGAGGCGATTGCGAGGGCATTCCGGAGGTCATCATCGGCGCCATCGACCGTGATATGTCTCGTCCCGCAGCCCTCATGCACCGAACGGATGCATGCAGTCATAATATGTAGGCCTTATCTCCCGAAGTCTTGAGCAATAGCCGCAAACAACGCTTTTTGGCACTTGCATCGCGACAAGGTCACACGCGGACTCTCCAGCCTCTCACCACCTCGCCTTCCCTGCCGCTCTCCTGGCCCAGGCCCATCAGTAGCAAGCCTGAGTCGTCCCGAACCGCACTTATCTCGGGTGTGCAAGCTCACACGGGCTCACAACTACCCACACACGGGCCCTCACACGCCCATTACAGATCACAGACGCCGCCGGCACGCACTCGCACTTCACACATGCTCAAACACAGCCCCACCAAAGCACAGCCCTGCTCAGAGTAGTCATGGACCGCCCTTTGGGAGCCGCGGAAGCCCCACAGCTGCTGCTCCTCTCGGCTCCTTTCAGTGCGTGTCGTGCACCACCCCACGACAGCGCTGCTCGAGAGAGCTCCAGCGTCCTCCCCGTCGAGTACTCAAGCCTGAGCCGAGAACTCCGTGCAGCTGGGCCAGGGAGCCAGCTGCACACCCGGTGGCGGCGGCGGGATGGGCCACCAGCGCGCCCTGCACGCCGCTGCCGAGCGGTGTCGGTGAGATTCAAGCGCAGCGGCCCGCCGGCGGGCACCAACGACACGTCAGACGGCCGCCGACCGGCCTGCGCAAGGGAGGGTGAGGTAGTCGACCAGATGGGTGCGGCAGGCGAAGCCCACGCCGGGTTTGGGGGGCGTGTGGGCCGCGGGACACAAGGCACCGCGGAGGGGCTACTTTAGGTCAGATCCGCTGAGAGTCCAGCTGTGTGCGCCGGGTCCCCAAGGGTGAAAAAAGAATACAGCGGCGGACGCCGGACTCTTTCGGGTTGTGGCGCGCCCGACTTGGAGCAGCTTCTGCCGCAGGCAGCGCCGAAAGGGCGACCACCATCATGCTTGTCCGGCTCCTCCCCCTCGTGTGGTGGTTCGGCGCCGCCTCCGCGCTGCATCTTGCCGCGCTCCACCGCCGCGTCGCCGTCGGCGCCGACAGCTCGCTCCAGCTGAAGGTCGTGTACGACGCCGACCGCCTGTCGCCGCTGCCGTGCGTGCTCTTCTTCAGCGGGGCTGACTGCTCCCACGAGTCGTACATGTGGCTCGCCGAGCGGCTCGCCCGGGCTGGCTGCGCGGTGGCGCTCTCGTCGTGCGTGGTGCCGTTTGGGCCGAAGACGTGCCTCTTGTCGACGCCGTTTGACCTGGGCGCGCTGGGCAGCCTCGAGGCCTACAAGCGGGGCCCTTCGCGCGCCGGCATCGCCGCGATTCTCGACGAGCTGCGAGCTCTCGCTGCCGCCTCGGACGGGCCCCTCGCCGGCCGCCTCGACCTGGGCCGCCTCGCCGTCGGCGGCCACTCGTCGGGCGGCCGCACCGCCCTCGACCTCGCCTCGTTCGATGAGCCGTTCGGCGTCGCTGCAGTCTTTTCGTACGGCGCGTCGCTGGTCAACTCGGGGATGGGCGCCTTTGCGGAGCGCGGGTCGGTGCTCCCGTGCGACGCCGCGCGCCCGCCCCCTCTGCTCCTCTTGGGCGGCTCGGAGGACGGCGTCAGCGCCGGCTTGTCCGAGAGCGGCGATGCGACCGAGACGCTCCGACGGACGATGGCCGAAGGCGTGGCGCCGGGGAGTGGGCGTGCCGAGCTCTGCATCCTTCGCGGCGCCAACCACATGGCTTTTTGCGAGCCCGTCGACCCCACTTGCAGCGCCGTCGACTCCGACCGCCCTCTCGGCGCCGACGGCGCGGCGGTCCGCTCGGCCCTCGGCGCGCTCATTGTCGACTTCCTCGGCGCCGCAGGGGTCGCCGGCTCACGGCTCGCGCCGGAGGAGCGCACGGCCGCGCTTGCACCTCCGCTCATCTTCGCGGCGGACGCGGTACGCGTCCCGGAGGACGCGCGATGCGTCGGGGCCGAGGTCGCTGCTGCCGGCGCCGCGACAGCCGCCCAACCCGCCGGCCAGGCCGCCGCCGCCGCCGCCGACGAGGTCGCTTGGGAGGCGCTGCGCGGTGCTCTCGATGGCTGGATGGATCGGCTGCGCTCCGAGCTGCGCCTGGCGCCGTCCAGTTTTGCCGAGGAGTCCGCAAAGTGGGCTGCAGGCGGGGACCTCCGCTAGTAGGAGTTCCAACTTCCGAGAGGCAGGCGAAGTAGCCACTTCTGGCACTTGCGTCGCAAGTTGCGAGGCGCCGAAGGACGCCAGGCCTTGGGCGTGGGGCCGGCGCCGTACCTAGGGGCCATTAAGCGAAGTCCTTGCCCCTCCCCCACTCCGCCGTTCGCACTGCGCTCCTTCCCCGCCACGCCTCCCGCATTCGACCCCTTCCGGCTCCCGTGCCGCCGCTCAGGTGGGCTGCGCGGATCACTCGACGGCTTTGCGTCGCCGGCAGTGGAGTGGGGGGTTCGGTACGCAAACGAAGCGGCCGAAAGTGGCGGCGGCGGTGGCGGCGCGGCATCGGGGAGCGCCGGCGCAAAGTCAGTGGGCGTCAACTTGTGGTTGACGAGCCGGCTACCAGTGCCACACATGACGCTCTATGTCGGCGTGCGCGCCGGACGGGCGACGCTGATGGCGGACCATTTGCCACGCTTCGACTTGGGCGAGCGGCCGGAGCACGTCGCAGCCTTCTACGGCGGCGAGCAGGCGAGTCGGTGGTCTGCGGCGCAGCGGGTGAAGGGTCTTACGCCGTTCCGATCGAGCGACCCGTCGGTGCGCGCGCTGCAAGGGCCAAACGCGCTCGCGCTGCACGGCGCCGCCGCCGACCCACACGCAGTCTCGGCGTTGGTGGCAGAGCTGGATCGGCACGCGGGGGCGTGGTTGGGCTGGGTGCGTACCACGCCGCTCCTCGATGATGGCGCGGAGGCGGAGGCGGTGCGCGCACGCGACTGGTCCCTGCGCGCGGCGCTGCGCGACCACGAGCGTGCGGCTGGCGAGCGTTTCATGGGGCCCGACGTCGCCGCCACGCTCTCGGCGAGCATGGCGGGGCCGGAGCTGCGGGCCGAGGAGGGCGCCCGCGCGGAGCCGCTCGCATGGCGGCCGGCGGCGGCGGCAGACGGCGTCGCCAAAGCTGCAGGCGAGCTCCCTTCTCTGTCTCCGTCTCTCCTGTCTGTCTGTCTTCTCCCTCTCCCTCTCCCTCCCCTTCTCTCTCCCT